GACATTGATTAGTCAGATTACTTTACATCTTAATGGAATACATGAGAATTTCTGGTCACAGAACACTGTAGGACAATTGGCCCGGGTAGGTACCCTGGGGGGGACTTTGGGTCTACTATGGGGTAAAGATAAGTGTGGAGGAAAAAGAAAGAAAAACGTTAATCCGTCTGGAAGATACTACTCATATGGATATTTTCAGTTTAAGAAGAGGCAGGAGAGCCCTGGCTGGCTTGGCTCGGCAGTTAGAGCGTCGGCCTACGATCCACAGAGACCCGGGTTTGGTTCCTGCTAAGGGCATGTACCTCGGTTGCAGTTTGTCCCCAGCCTGGATGGGTTGTGCGGGTGCAACCACTCAATGTGTCCCTTTCACATTGATGTTTCTCTCTCTCTCTCCCCTTCCCACTCTATCTGAACAAAAAATGGAAAAATGTCCCTCGGGTGAGGATAAAAAGGAAAAGAAGAGACAGGAGAAAAGAATAGTCACTGGGTAGCTGGCTGGTGAGAAGGGACAGTTAAGAGTTGAAAAGGCACCAAAGACAGTTTGCTCACTTCAAAGTATTTAGGGGCGTCTGCTCAGTTCCAGAGATTAGATGAGAGGCAGACCATCCCATCAGAAATGACCTCGACACTCAACTAACTTCTCGTTTTGCCTGCAAGAGTCTAGAAAGATGGGTAATATGGATTTGGGGGTGTATATGTGCATAATTCAAGTCTGAGACAGAGACACAACTCCCATGCCCCCAGTGAAGAGAGCAGAAAAGGTGGTATCCTTTTCCTTCTAAATTCTGCAGGTCAGGGGCCCAAACCACACCCAGAGTTCTGTTCCTCTTCTTCCTCTTGAGTAAGATAGGGGCCTGTGGACAGTTATTTGGGTTGAACCAAGGGTTACTTTGTGTGGTCAACACAATCCAGTTTGTGCAGAGGATGCAAAATCAAGCAAAATGCCCCAATAACAATACAGAGCATGATTTAAGAAATACAAATGTCTGGGTGTCGAGCGAACCCTTAACTTGCTAAACGTAATCACTCATTGACTCTAAGTAGCCACACAACTTTGATTTGAATGAATATTGGTATATAAAAGTTTATTTTCATAAGCTCATAATAACTGTCTTAGTCTTAACAATGTAGCAACACAGAGCATTTCCAGTACACAGCACCCAGGCAAAGACCCAATCTGCTAACTTGAGACTCAGTGTCTTCCCTGCAGGTCATGTTCTTAAAGGTTTGTGATGACATTCTGTACTCTCCATTACTACTTTAAAACAGAATTGTGACGTGGCCTGGGAAAGGCAGCCTTGACCATGTCAACTCCCTCCTCTGTAGAATGGGATCAATGGTAACTAATGTCCCCCCTGCCCTGGACGGTGTGAGGATCAAATTCTATTAAAACATTTGGTGAACCAAAAAGTCCCATGCAAAAGTTATAGTAGGACTCCTGATTAGGTTGTACCCCTCTCCTCTAGACACAAGGCCTGATAAAGAAACTGGCACTTATTGTTGGTCTTCTACATGCCACGTTATCTCACTCAGTAGTATCTGTAGTGGGTGGTCAGATCCCACTTGGCATGCGAGACACATGAAATGAAGTAACTTCCCTAACGTGAGCCACCTACTAAGCAGTAGAAGTGGTAGGGCTAGGACTTAAACCCTGGTCTGCAGTTCAAAAAGCCAGGCGTTCTTAGCACTAGCACTAGCTTCACATCTGCTTTATCACTGAGGTCTACAGAAGAAAAGTGAAAGCAGCATTTGGTTTCTACAGAAACATGAAGGTTCTCACCACCACCCTCAGCCGCAAGCTCTCGGTTATTCCAAGGTGTAATATAAAATGTGTTAAACCTTCCCAAAGGGCTAAGGCTGGCAGGATGAAACAGCCAGTACTGCACTGTGGAATGGAGCCCAAGAAATAAAGCAAAGGCAGAGACAGTCAGTTGTAATAAAAGTAAAATATGAAAACCTCAATTCCCCTGCCTGCCAAAGGCCGCGTCCCTCAGCCCTATCCGGCGACGCAGCCCCAGTGGCTGCTGATTGTGATGCAGTGATCCAGAGACAGCCTGGGTTTGGTTTGGTTTTTAGCCTCATCTGACATAACTAGTAAGATGCACACTTTACTGATCATGGGTTAGAACCACCCCTGTCTAGCCACAGGGACAGCGAGGGGCCACACTGCTGATGTTCTCTGTGTGGCACAGGTGCCAGGCAGGATGAAAAACGGGCGTGAGAGGGAGCCAGGTGAGACCTGGGTGTGAATTCCAACGCCATCACTCACCACCTGGTCACTGTGGGCCAGTCCTTCACTTACTCACTGGTAACCCTTCTTCATCTTGAAACAGGTGCCTCTAAAATAAGATGAGATGATGCAGGTCAACTGACCAGCAGATGTCTGTGAGCACAGCAGGCATTGCAGAGGGAGCAGATTCTCTGATGACTCACGAACCGGCTCATGTCCACCAGTAAGTAATTGCTTGCTTGTTTGTCTGTTTCTTGCAGACACTCTCTGTGGTAAACTAAAGATGACTACAAATTCTTACTAAGTTTTTCTCTGAGAGGCAGAGTCCAATGCCTCTCCCACTGAGTCAGAGTTGATCTCAGTGACTTCCTTGGCCAACGCAATGTGGCTGAAGTACCTTTCTGGGATTTCTAAGCCTAATTCATAAGCAGCCTTGCAGGTTTTGCCCTGGCCTCATAGCTGTGAGCTGCCGTGTAGGAATACTGGGTACCCCGAGGCCACTGTGCTGTGAGGAAGCCCTACTATCATGTGAAAAGGCCTTAGGAAAAAACAGATGTTGGGCTAGCCCAGCTGTTCCAGCCTCCAGCTGTCAGAGTTGTTCCAGCCCAGATCCCAGACACTGGAGTCTCTGCCAACCCTGCCAAACTGCACATTCGTGAGCAAAATAAATGACTGTTGTTGCTTTAAGCTACAGAGTTTTGAGGTGGTTTATGGTGCAACAAAAGATTAATAGAATACTGTCTTTATCAGATCCCCCCCCTCAAAATTAGAAACATCAGTCTGCTGAGTTATATTAAGACACATACTAAGTTTATGTTGACGCCGTAGTTCTCGAGTCTATTTTAGACACTGAAAAACATTTTGTTTGTGGACACTGTTAATCCAGGCATAATTTATTCATTGGCTGACCAATGACATATATGAACTATTGCGTGTGTATGCATGCCAGAGTTTAAGTTATTTAGAATTTTAAAAAATATCCAGTGCCTCTCATCAGAAAAAAAGAAATCTACAAATAATAGTCCTTCATCTCAGTGAACTTGTGAAACTCATGCTCTGGAGTCAAACTAATTGAATCTGGTGCCCGAGTGAGCCACCCTCGCAGCTCTGTACAAAGCCAGGCTCCAGCCCACAACCAGCTACCTAGTCATCAGAGTGGTGCATCGAAAGCCACCATCTACCTTCCTCCTAACCAGTAGGAAACTACCCACTCTGGGCTGCTTGCATTTCTGGGCAAACTTGCAATGACAGTGCTAAGACAAAGTAGATGCATGCCGCTATCCAGATCACCTCTGAGGAACCCCTTCAGCTTTCACCCGTGTTCCACTCCGGAAGGAACGGATGTAAGGCTTGATGGGACCACAGAACACTCACCTGATGCCTTTCAAGTAAGATGTGACCTTACAATATTATGCAAACTTTCGGGCATATAATCAGCACAGGTGAACGCAAACATTTTGCTGCCTCCCAGATTGACTTCGCTCTTTCGTTTCCTGGTTCTTCTGCCTGCAAAGCCCGTCTCCCCTTCTTGAGGGTGTGTGTGTGTGTGTGTGTGTGTGTGTGTGTGTGTGTAATCTTATTTACCCTTCAAATGTCCCCTTTCCCAGCAAGGTGGAGTTAATTGACATTGCTTCTTCAATCTGTAAAGCCTTTTCTTTACCAAGAAAGCTTATCATTAAAAAAAAGGAGAAGAAGAAGAATCAGCAACAACAAACCCACAGTCCTATAGAATACCCGGAGAAAGAACGCGAGAGAGTCCCCGTAACTCTTGGCGACATTCCACCAGGCTGAAAACAGGCTGACGTGATCTGTGTTTCAGGGATTATAATTCAGTAGCAGAAATGAGTCAATTAAAATGCCAACCAGAATGCTGTCTGGAGATAAAGTGCTTTGAACTGGGGTGCAACATAACTTGAATTGCTAAATTCTAAGGGCTGACTGGTGATTTGCATCTCAATCTCTCTTTATGTTATTTTCTTGGCAAAAGTTAATAAGGAGCCACTTAGCCTAAGAAAGGTAGGCCCTCTACCTCGGCAAGAACCAGATGAACACAATGAACTCCAAATTTTCCTAACTCAATGGCTTTTGTTTGCCCTGGGGTGGACAATGCCTGTTGTCCCGAGTGGGTCAATCTAAACGTCAAACCCGCCACCTGGCGTTGGCTTCTACACGCATTTGTCAGCAATTCCAGTCTCAAAGGCTAGAAGGCACTAAGTAGCACCTGGCACTTTGCAGTTCAATCCACAAAACACATGAGCAACATTCAGAAAGTCATAATTGAACACTCTTTGCTCTATCACCAAACTTAAATGACATCTTCAACACTCATTATTTAAGAACATGCATAACTATATAAAACGATCCAAGCCAAAGGCCGTACAAACACTGAATGGTAACAGGCTCCACGAGACAAAATCCACAAAGCACAGCCCTCCACTCCTTCTCCATGGGAAACTTATAGAGGGTCACCCCTTATTCTGCCAAAAAACAAGAGCACTGATGTTTCTGACACTCATTCTTGAATTAACTATGCTGAACACATCAATTTAGAATTCTTGTAACAGAGTCTACATTACAACGGATACTCAAAGCAATAGAATAACTTAATGCTTGATCCTTTAAATACCTAGATGAAGCCAGAGGGAAAATTTACTGTCCTCGCTCATTGATTGAACTCTGGTCTTCCTCCAGTAAGGATATAAGTTTCTGGCGACGGACAAACAATAACATTGGTGTATTCTAGGAAAGAAGAAAGGCAGTATCAACTTACTTAACAGTTGGCAATAGAGGGCCTGTAAACTTCTCTTCATGGTATCATCTGGTCCTTCTTGTCCTCCAGTTTATTCATGATTCTGTCTGGGAAATTGGGAGAAGAAAATTGTTACATCTGGGGAACATAATTCAAGTCAATAATCAGAAAGAATTCCATTTAACATGATTCCAGTTGTTTAGCCCAATCAGGTTAAAGCACCTGACTCTGAAGAGGAACATTCTTGGCATGGATACACTGCAGTTTAATTTATAACAGTGCGTGTTATAAAACTACCAATGAGCCAATTGGTCAAATCCTGAAACTATACACACCACTAAAGGAAACTCACATGGGTAACTAGAGAGTAAGAATCAGGCTTTGGAACTTCCGAGGTTTCCAGTTAATCTTCTCTGAGTCTCTAATCTTGAAAAAGGAGAAATAAATTTCTAACCTCATTTCCACTATGGTGCTCACAAACAACCCCCAAAGCTTCACTACATTGAAATTGTACTATATTAAACAACTGTTCTATTATTTTCTGTTATAAAACATATCTTTAATCCAGAATATTTGGAAAATATAGCTAAACAGAAAATATAGATAAGAATATGCAAGAAAATTCAAACATCCTCTCTCCAGCCTGCCAAGTACAATTCTTTTGGCCTCTCTCATCTGTGCATTATACATTCTTTTTTTTATCTTCACCCTGTACCTATTTTAGTAGTCAAGAATAAAGTCTGCCTTACCGTCTTTAACAAGTATATATATTTTTCTTTAATATAGTCTTTAATCCTTCTCTACTGGCATGTTAGGATTTTTATTTTTCATGATAGTTCAAGTTGAATTGATTTATCTTAACATTTTTTACATATCAAAAATCCAGCCTTTATTCAGTAGTTGTCACTGTATTCAAAAGTTGTGCAACTCTCACCAGCACCTAATTCCAGAAAATTTTCCGCATTCTAAAAGGAAACTCCCGTGTTGATTAGCAGTCACTTCCCATCACTCCTGCCCGCCAGTCCCTGGCAACCACTAATCTACTATGGGTTTCCTATTCTGCACATTTCACATGCATGGAATCATACAATACATGGCCTTTTTTGTCTGACTCTTTTATTTAGCATGTTTTTAAGGATCACTATGTTGTAAAGTATGCTGTTTTTTCCCTTATTTATTGCAACACACACACACACACACACACACACACACACACACTCTACTATGGTTAGAAAGGCCTTCCTTAGTCCAGGATCACATAAATAGTTGCCTGTACTTTCTTCTGGTATTTTTTCTAACTTCTTTTAGATCTGTTTCTGGACTTTGTATCGTATTTTACTATTTTTAATTTTTTTATCCTCACCTGAGAACATTTTTCCACTTTTTTGTTCAGATAGAGTGGGAGGGAGAGAGAGGAAGAGAGAGAGAGAGAGAAACATCGACGTGAAAGGGACACATCGAGTGGCTGCCACCTGCACGACCAACCAGGGCCGGGGACAAACTGCAACCAAGGTACATGCCCTTAGCGGGAACCGAACCCGGGTCCCTCTGGACCGCAGGCCGACTCTCTAACGGCTGAGCCAAACTGGCCAGGGCTTGTATTTTACTTCTTTGTTTGCTCATTCTTCCACTACAGCAATAGTTGTTGTTTAAATTACTCTTAATTGAATTTGTCCTTTATTTTTACTCTTCTGTTTAAGATTTGCCTAGTTCTTTGAGCTTATTTATCCCACCAAATTAATTTCAAAATCATTTTACCAAATTCCAGAAAAATAAGCATTGGGATATAGTTGATATTATCCTTTACTTGCTTTACTAATTTGGGAGAGACCTGATCTCTTCAAAATCCAAGTGCAGTGAGGAGAAATATAAGTGATCATTTAGACTCTTGCTCTAGAGATCAGAAGAATTCTTCACAGAGGGTGAGAAGTGCTCTTCTGGGGTGGGGGGAATAGCTCAATGACTTCTTTGGTTAGGAAAACTGAAGTCTCCCATCCCCCAATGTCATCTGGATGAGTGAGAGGGAGAGCAAGAGTTGGTTAAGTTCCTCTCCAATACAAAATAACAGGAGGTTTGAGTTTCCAAAGGCTAAGAACGAGGGGTTAAGTGATCCAGAAATCAGAGAGGCTGAAATGATAAACAAAGAATGTTAAGAGACAGACAGAAAGAGGCAATTCCAAAAGACAGCTAAGAATAAAGGATAGAGTGAGAAATTCTACACAGGAGATGACCCATAAACTCTAAGATGTGTAATATTTAATTTTTCATTGCTTCTTTTTAATGCCTTTTGTACTTACATACTACATCTGTCTTCTTTCTCCCCCACAAGGCTTATTCACTAATAGCATCCTCAAAGCCTCAGCAAGTCTTATACAAAATAGCCCTGTATTGGTAGTGCTCAGCTGGGCAATGAAAAGAAAGACACTATGACCCAACACAAGGGTGACCAGGCAGGAGCAACAGGAGCCACAAGAAGTGGTTAGTGGACATTTACAGAGGGATTAGGACATGGTAAGTACTCAATAAATGTACAGTGAATAAATGAATGAATGAATGAAAAAATAAACAATCAAGTAACAGGAGAGCAGAGAAATAGTTGTAACTTATATTGATCACAAAGAACATATGTTCCTCGACTATCTCTGAAAGTTCTTGAGATTTTCGAGAAACTGGTAGACCTTCCACAAAGTGTGGAGTAGAACCATTTTATTCACACATCAAGAAACAAGGAAGCCCATAAATCTGGGACACTTGGGATCACCTGGGTTACATAGGGCTATCCCAACTACAAGCACCATATGACTTAGTATGTATTTAAAACTAATGTTTATTTAGGCCTTTCTGTGGAGTTTTGCAGTGTTTTTCCTTCATTTAAGCTCTATGGTCTTGTTGAGTTAATTCCTAGGCATTTTATATTTATCCATTTTGCCCCTGTGATTGCATTGTGTTCCCATTATATTTTCTAATTGCCTCTACATGAAAATGACTGAGTTTTATATATTCATTTTGTGACCTAACTGAACTCACTCACGGTTATAATGATGGTTTCTTGGCTGAGTCTCTTGGGTCAATTGTGCTGCTTTGGATGGATGGAGAGCCACAATGAGATCCCATCAAAAGCCTCTTTTTAACCAGATAGTTGGAAACATTGATTGTATCTGGTGCCTCAGGGAATAATTTAGAAGCTCCAAGGATGACAACTACTTCTGGAATGAAATCTAAGAAAGTATACAGTTTTACAGCCAAAAGGCTGACTAAAAGCAAAAAGAAAGAGGAAGATGATGAAAACATTTGATTGCACCTGCAGAGATAGCACACAGGTGAGGAACTCACTGACTGTTAGCTCAGGAGAAACAGGGGTGCAGGTAACCTGAACCATTCACTCTCCAAGAGAGTGAGCCTAATAGGCGCCTGCCTCTCCCATTGGCTTCAATGGGACATTGTATCCATTCCACTGGCTCGGAAGGAAATGGCTCTTTTGTTGACCACTGAAAATATTCCAATTAGAAATGTCCATGTAGCATGAAAAAAGTAGAAAGAAGCCGAAAAAAAAAAAGCTCTGATATTTAATATGCGAATTGACATGAAATGTCAATAGAGAACAAATATGAAGGAATAGCTAGTAAAATCCTGGAAAACAAAAACAAAATAACTCACAACAAGGTGGGGTGAGGGGAGGGAAGAGGTGCCAGTTCTATCAGGCATAACATACTCTAAAGCCTCTATAATTAAAACACTTTGATATTGATATATGAATAGACCCAATTTTACATGGAAATCTAGGATATGATAAAAGCAATATATCAAATCAGTGGGCAAAAGGGTGAACTCTCAAATAAATGCTGTTGAGACAATGGAAGAGTAGTGTGACAAAAAAAAATATGATGCTCATCCCAAATACCACACGCCAGCATAAGTTCCGAAGGAACCAGACATTTAAATGTAAAAAACGTAAAGCATACAAGTACTAGAAAAAAATATATGGGTAAATTCTTCTATTACTTGGGAACAGAGAAGCTTTGCTAACTCAGAATCAAAGTTTGAAGCAATAAGAAAATGACTCTATCACATAAAAAATTGCATAGTAAAAAATACAATTAAGTAAAAATACAAATAAGAAACTAGAAAAATGTTCACCTTATAACAAGCAAAGAGTGAATATCCCTAAAATTTACGTGTAACCCTCCCGTCAATCCCCCTGGGTGCTCCAGCCATCATTTGCAGATATACGCAGAATGGAGAAAAATGTGAGCTGTCCAACGTGCCACGTCCCCAGCTGAGGTCAAACAAGGCAATGCGTCTTCTTGTTTTAAATCTCATACTGCGAACAAGTGTCCTTTCTCCAGGCTCATTAGTGCCATGTTTCCACACTGTTGTGCTTTTTCTTGATATCTATTTGAAGCGAACCCCAGGCACAGGCTGAAGTGCCGTCTAATGCTCCTGAGTGCAGGTGGACAACGATGGGACTTACAGCCCAAACACATGTCTCAGACCAGCTTTGTTCAGGCACCTGATAGTGCTGTTGGCCTGGAGTCCAAAGTTAGTGAATCAGCAATGTATATTCAATAAGGTAATTTTAAACAGAAACATATAAAACAAGATTACGTATTGATCTGTTAATAAAAATATGACCAGAGGCTCACAGGAACCTAATCTTGTATTTCCCCTAGGAGCAATGGTTCAGTATTCACTAATTAAATATTTGGGACAACTTTATAGAACATAACTACCATGAATAATGAGAATCAACTGTATCTGAGTAAAGCTTGAACAAAACAGAACCATGGCTCTCATCTCCCTAGGACAAGGGAAGAGCTGATTAACCTGGTGGCCAACATACCTTAAAGCTGCTCTCCAGGGAAATAATGAGGTGGGAGAGTTGACATATCAACTGATATCACAGGCCTGCAAAGATTTTTGAAAAGGAGCATACATCTCCATTTTACAGGTGGGGACAGAGATACCAAGAAGCTCACATCTTTGTTCAAGATCAACCTGCAAGACCTTGAGCTAGTTTCTTGACTTCTCTGATCCGTGGATTCCTTATTTGTAAAGGGGCAGGAACGGCATTAGATACACTTGCTGCAAAGACTTAAACACCCATGCA